CAGAATGGGAGGCTGGCTGGTGACTTTAACACTATTGCTTTTGGAAGGATAACAAGGTGGAGACCTCTCCACATAGGATCTAATCCTGTAGATTTAGAGGATTTAAGGTACATTAAATCTCCAGAAAATATAAATGGTAGCAATTGAGTGGTATCTGTTGGCTTTGGAAGGCAACTGTCTGTGTGTTGTTGACACGGCAGGTTCCACAAGAAGGACAAAACAAGAATATAATCAGCAATGGCACGAAGGTTATCAGGATGAAGGAAATTATGAAGGTGAAAAGGTCTCCCATACATGAGCTCAAATAGACTTAGGTAGGTGGGTGTCCTGAGTCTTGTTAGAGCTAAGGGAAGCAGCTAAGGCCAAGGCAAGTGTAGCTCCAGGATACATTTGGTGAGGTGGGCCTTTAAAAGAACATATGCTTGCACTCCTCATTAATGTTTAGGGGTCATTGGATGTTGGCCAATATGGGAAGGCTGAGGTATCACTGATGCAAACTACTAAAAGGTAGCATGGGTGGCACCAGTAGGCCTGGTTGTATCCCAGAGTAGGTTGTCAACAAGAGGGAAGAGAGGGGGAGGAGCTGGTTGCGCACTGAGGTTGGGGTTGTAGGGTGAACACTTTGGGGAAAGAAGTGAAAGAGAAGTGGGGTTTTTGGAGGAGTTTTATTCCATGAGAAGTGTGGGACAGGTTGGGATCACAATGAAATTATGAGTGAAAGACAGTGTCTAGATTTGGCAGGGCATGGCCCCTGTCTCAAGGGGTTATGCAGATGAGCCATCAACACCCACTATGGAGATGGTAGATCTAATATAGTGACCTGAAAACTCAGTGTGATCATTTGTGGCTCCTATGTCAACAAGAAAAGAATGTCCTACTTGAGATGTGTAGTGAGACTTGGGGCTCTGACAAAGATACCTCAACTGGGGGCCCCAAGGCCATAATTCTTTTGCAGTAGCAAGAACAACAGTTCAAGTATTGATGGATCTGGCTACAGTGCATTCTCCTGTGAGGGTAGGGAATGGAAGCAGATGAATTACCCAGTCTCTGGTGGACAGGGCAGTCTCTATTTCAGTAACTCTCAAGCTTATAGATGGCAGCAGATCCCAGTGGTGGCTGCAGGTTGGGGCAGGCATGTGCTCAGTGACCTTCTTTACTGCACTAGAAAGCACACAGAAGTGCCTCCAGTGAGAACATTGTTTTGGTTCAGCATTACCTCTCCAAGGTCCTGCTTTGATGGCAGTCCAGCATGTCATGTCCAAAGTCTTGCAATTGTGTATAATCAATTTTCATCTCTATTATTGAGAACACATAAAACCAGGTTAAGTACATCTCCATGGTGGGGTTTGAGGGCTGAGATTTGCCTTTTTGAGCTTGGCAAAAATATCAGGAGCAAATAGGGATATAAAATACGAATTAATAGCACTTGTTCCTTCAGGAGAATCGGGGTTTACATTAGTATACTTAGTTGAGAGCAATACACTTAATTATGAAAACTTCATCTGAGTACTTAACACCTTGCAATATAAAGTGTAACCAAAGGACTTCTGTTTCTTACCAGCCATGGATGTTCCAGTAGTTAACTCCCTGTAGAATGTTGCCAGAGAACAGTTGTATAACTTTACAGAAATCACTTTCCATCAATAACCGAGCACAAAAATATGGCATAACAGCCATGATGATATGTCCATTTTGGCTAATCATGTCAAAGCATTATATAAGTTTCTCTACATATCACATAAGATTCTGTTAGAAAATTTATCATTTGACAACCTCATGTTGTCAGTCCCTTTCCTTAAATATTTACAGAGTGAATGCTTGACCCAAGGAAGACTTCCTGATGGTCAACACAGACCCAGCTCTCATTGTAAGCAAAATTTGATTAAACCTAGGAAAATAGGCTCTTGAGTGTGAGTTTGTCGAGGTGAAGAAAGTCAGCAAACACCCTATGTGAGGCATGCAGGCCACAATGCAAGAGCAAGGAGACTGACCAAGAAACACAAGGCTTCAAAATACCTAAGAATAGGAAGAGTGACAGCCTTTGCACCATTATAGCTGCATCCACCTGCACATGAGGAGATTTCTATTTAGAATAGCCCCCAAAATGTGGACTTTAATGTATGTGAAGTTTCCTCAGAAGCATTGTGTAAAAGGTCAGTATGTTCAAGCTTCTTTAGAAACATTCAGGCTAAAAAACATTGTCAACTATGCAGACTGTTCAAAGCATACAGTCAATGCTTTGAGCATAGCTCTGAGACAATCTGTTTGGATAAAGTGTGCAAATTCCTGGGATTCTAAACCAGAACCACAGGGGAGGACAGTGCATAGCCTATTATAGAGGTGCAATTCTATGACCACAACACTCTGGATGGCTGAGCAAGGACAGCCACAAGTTCGAGTCCAACCAGTCATCCAGGCAGATTAGCCAGAAGGTGGTATTAGAAATAGGTATGAGAAAAAAGAAAACAGTAAAAGTAAAAATTATCAGCGCTGAAGATGCAGTTAAGAGCAAAACCTTCTGCAAGCATGGTGATACCTGCTTGTAAGTTCAGTACTCGGGAGGTAGATGCAGGAAAATTGTGTTAGATGAAGGTAAACAAACTGTTTGAAAATGAGAGAGAGAGAGAGGGAGAGAGAGACAGAGTTAGAGACAGACAGAGACAGAGAGACAGAGACAGAGAGAGAGAGAGAGAGAGAGAGAGAGAGAGAGCAAAGCATCTCAATTTAGCTGTGACAACCATAATAAAACAAATGATAATAACACTGAAAAACAAAATACATATATGATGAGGATATACCAATGCAGAGTCGCTAAATTGAACTGAAGAAAAAGACTGAAATAAAAAAAAAAGAGGGCTGTGATTGTTTAACAAAAGAGCCAAGTCATTCCGAAGGAAAAACAATAATATATGAAAAATGAATTCGGACTTTTGACCCAGTGCAGGCCCTGGGGTCCTGCACTTCCACATTTCCTTATGGAGGCTGCACCGGGTAAAAAAATGGTCCACCCCAGACCCAGTCTTCCTAGTGGATCTAACCTATGGCATTTTCCTTTAGTGTCAGGACTTTTGCCATAGGGTCGTTTCTCAGTGATGATGGATCCACACAAAGTGGTCCGCTTTTTAGCGGGAACTAGGAAACAAAGCTGAGGAAAGTTGCGTTTGAGTTAAGAGCAGTTCAGGAATTTGTGTAAACCAGAATTTAAGGGGGACTCGAGGCTTATATTTTGATTTGTCCTGTGTTTTGTAGAAGTAAGAATCCACAATCAAGCCTCTGCACTCAGCTGAATTCTGGTTCCGTTTTTTCTGTATGAAGTGCTGTCACTTTCACCCCAGTGAGGGACCACGCTGTCACAGAGATTATCTTGTTAGCATGGGCACAGACGCAACCCAAGACACAAAGATGCGAGTGTGATGTGCATCAAGGACTTTGGTGACAGGTCAACAAGGGTCTCAAAGATTCAGGATTTGGGGATGAAACAGATGCTAGGAAAAAGATTGCATAGAAAGTTCTCTGCTTTTTGTCAAAAGATGCTCTTCTCTTATCTATTCGTAAAGGCACATAGTTTCTGAACCATAAATTTAGGATACACAAAAGCAAGTCTTTAAAAATCTAAGGCCTAAGAGTGGTGTGGTGCATAGTCTTGAGAACCAGGAATTTGAGAGGCTGAGATAGGATGATTAAAAATTTGAGCCAAGCCTAATAAACTTGGTGACCAGAGAAATCTTTCAAAAAAAGAAATGTCAGGAGATACAATTTAATTTGTATCCACCTAAGAAAACACTGTGGCTTAGGGACAGCCTTCTCAAAGTTAAATAAAGTAAAATAAAATAAAATAAATCAAGCATGAAAAATATCTCAGGACTGTATATTGTTCACAATCAGGGAAGCTGGGGGAGATAGGATTCTATCAGATAGACAGATAGACAGACAGACCACTTTAATAGGAGACTAAGAATCTCCACTTTCAGCAAAAATGCCTTCAGTATTGGAGTAGCTTTGGACCTAAGAGAAATGAAGGTCATTTGGATTGTTCTGTATTTTGTGGTGCTGGAAATCCAGCAATGAACCCTTGCACTAATCTGCAACCTTGTTCCCTATATATTTTTTTTAATAAAACATGCTATCACTTCAGGGTCATGAATTGCGTGATTCCTAACCAAATACAGTCCAAAAGTATTAAAACAGGTTCTGCCATGTCCAAGGAACACAGAAGAAGCCAACTATATCCAACCATTGCCAGTGTCAAGAATTTTCAAGTCAGGTTAATGCTAGGGTTCCAGGGAAGGTGGATTTAGCATTGCTTTTAGAATATTCCACTGCTAGAATGTGGCCCTTGTGTGAGAAGACAGTGACACCAAAGCTTTGTCATCATAACTGGGTACATGGCCTCACTTTCCAAGGAAGGTTCCTAATTGACACAGAATTTGGACTCCTCAGTGGCCTTCCACAGAGGACACGGAACATAGAAAGAAAATGTTGAGGACAAGGTCCAATGTCCCTGATAGCTTCTGGAATATTATATTGAGTTTCAGAAGAAAAAGACCACAGCAGACATGGAGACGAATATTGTCTGGAAACAAATCTTTTATGTCTACAGCTCAGTGTGAAGGCAGTAGGATGAACACCAGTGGAAGGGCAGCAGGCGAGAAAGCCCAGAAACATGCAAGGAACATGAGGCAGGAACAAACTAAAGACTGGAAGGACATGAACACTCTATCTCTAATCACTGCTGGTAATTTGGAGGTCAAATCCCATTGCAAGAAACCCCAGGCCCTTGTTTCTCAGTTATTGTGTATTTTTGAGGTATGTTAAGAAAGCAGTTAAAATGGTCATGGAAGCCAAATGTGGTTCACGTACAAATGTCTTTATTTTTGATCACACTCTCAAGTCAGTGATTCTCCAAGATGGCCTGCAGCTCAAGGGGTCCTTACATCTCACACAGTGTAAGAAGGGTTCTGTGTTTCTGGGGCCATGATGGAAATGTATGATGTATGCATTCATTTGATGGGGATACAGGCCGAGCACGGATTGGGGTGAATTTTCAAGAATTTCTGGCTGCAACAGAGTTCACAGTGAAAGGTACAAAAGTAGACTGTTCTGGGATGGTGGAGAGGCCTCATGATCCATTCGAGGTCTTGATGAACTTGTTCCCTCATTTGGTTGTGGGCACCATGCCTGGGAACATAGAACTCTTGTGGAACAGAGTACAGCTCCTGCTTCAAGTTGCTGAGCCTGGCAGTGTGGCAAAGCAGGTTCCTCATGGTGCCCGTGCTCATGTAATTCCTGATGAAGCAGAAGGTATTGAGCTGGGAGCAGCAGAGCAGGGAAGGCAGAATAGCCTGGAGCTGCGCATGTGTGATGTGACAGTTTTCCAAGTGCAGAGTGGTCAGGGTGGGTGCCATATGGTCTAGCAGAATTCGGAGCGGCTCAGGACTAAAGTCAGACAGTTTGATGCAACTCAAATTGAAGTGTTTCAGTTTTCTGATCTGCTCCATGTGAGGAAGCTGATTCCAATCCGACTGGGAAAGCTGGCAGTGAGTTAAGGACAGGGTCTGCAAGGGGTAACTTAGGCACCTGTGGAGTGAGAAGGCAGTTATTTCTGGGAATCAGGGTATAAATAATGAGTTAGGGGGAAACAAAATGTTGACCCAGTAAGAGTTGAGTCAACCCACCTTAGCTGTGATCTTCCGCTCCCTTCCCCAGAGAACTGTGCATCTTACCTGAGTGCCTGGTCCAAGTGGCCTTCAAGGAATTGCACAGAGTTCATGTAAATCTCTTGCAGACACTGCAGCTTTCCAAATTGTGATGTGATTTGGGAGAACAAATGCTCTCTCCTCTTTGGGGTGATGAGGGCAGGAACTTTGATTGCAGAGAGTGTGAGTCTCTGAAGATTCCTCATCTGGCCCAGGAAAGGAGCAAAACGAGCCAAGGCGAAGATTGTCCAATGGTGACCCACATCGAGCTCCTGCACAGGCTCAAGGCTCAACCTTGACAGCAGCTTCCTGAGCCGTCGAAAGCACGGGGCTCTAATACCCAGCTTCGTGCAATGCAGCTGCACCAGGTCTTCCCTCTTCTGGATCCACTTGAGCAGGTAGGTCTCCAAAGGACACAGCCATTCCTGGCTGAGCCACAAGACCACAAGGACCCTGATGGGCTTCTTCTTTACTTCGTTTGGGCCCATCTTCTCTGTTTCTCTGCTCCTCATGCCTGGTGAACAGCAGACTTCCAAGTTGTTCTCACCCCAGACCCTCCAGAAGTTGTGGTTCATGACCCGCAAATCAAGGACTTGCAGCTTGGAACTCCTGTGGGTGAAGCAGGAAGGAGGGTGAGAATTTATCCCAGAACTCACTTTGCTCCTCAGATTTCCTCATCTTTGAGGTCAATTACTCTTCTGTCTACTCTTTGGAAACTGCACATTACTGCTCGTCCCTTCCCTATTAGATCCAGCCCAGTCACACCTCATGGTGCCTTGATCAGAGTTGAGAACTTCTTTATCCTTTCCTGCTGCCTCCTCCATCAGCTCTCCTCCCCAGTATGGTTTGCACTCCCACAGGGTACCATAAAACAAGTTTTCCTTAAGCCCCTTAAACACCTTTAGTGCCCACCCCAGCTGACACTTTCTGGCCCTTACTGGATACCCATGTCCTTTCCCAGGATGCCTGCATTTCACTCACCTGGAGCACGGCTTGTGGCTGAGCAGCACACCGAGCCCATCAAGCACAGCATGGAACATCCTTTCCTCCACTCGGACGGGGTGCTGATGAGTGAACAATGTGTCTGGGTCCCTCATGCTCATCAGGTCTCCCAGTGGCAAGGAGGGAAAGGGCCAGGACTGCACCATGGCCTGCAGGAGCTCAGTGTGTCCCCTGCTGAAGGCCTCCATGAATACTGGTGGATAGAGCTCGCCAGGCAAATGTTCCACGGCCTCCATGGCCAAGGCTTTGTCTCTTAGCAGGCTCTGAATGGCCAGATTGCGCAGTACGTGTGGGGACTGGAGGCTCATTCTGATGAATCTGGAATTGCAGCAGTCCTGGAAAATAGGGAGGACACAGAAGTCCTTTCTGGTAAGGCTGGGATATGCCCTCTGCACCTACAGATAATAGCTGAGGAAGGACTATGGGCACCGCACGGAAGCATATTACGCACCAGGTTCAGATTTCAGTGAGGGTGGCAGAGCTGTAGGAATCCCAGCAAGACCAGCAGCAACTGGAAGCTTTGTGGTCAGCATCTGTTCCTTCGATTCCCTCTTCTTTTATACCCCCTCCTTAGCCACACCTGAACCTCTATTCTCCTCCCTTCACAGCACCGGCTAAGGCTCGATTGGTCCCTCCCTCACCACTCTGTTAATCCTCCCCCTTCTCCCTATTAATCCTCCCTCTCCACCCAGTTAATCCTCCTGATAATCTTCCCTTTTCGGCCTGTCTAAGCCTCTGATGTGCTTGGATTATAGCCCCAACATGCTTGCCCCTGAATTATTGAAATCTTGTTTCAAAATCAAAAATTAAATTTTCCTGAAATATATATGCTTAGAAATATAAACCCATGAAAATGCACTGATCCAAACTACTTGTGAAATAAATATGTGTAGCCTCTATTAAATTGTTTTCCTTGTGAACCCAGACTACAACATTGGCTCTGGTTGACCTCTATCTTAAGTTCATCCTCCTATCTCAGATTCTGTCATACTGGGATGGCAGGTATGTGCCCCCAGTACCTGCAATTGTTCCAGGTTTCTCAATTAAGTAGCCTGGATTTATGTTTTATGTGTTATGACCTTCACAGAGGTGTTGTGTATATGCAGGTATGTTAAGTCCTTATTGTGTGTACTGAGTCTAAAAATTGTTTGAACCTGTATGAGTCATGTTTAAAACAGAGGGCTGGTGCACTGTGTGTATCTCAGAGGTGGAATTCTTGTCTAGTATGAAGGATTCCATTGTTTGATCCCTACAATCACAGAAGAAGATGCATAGCGAAGTGTGAAAATCTGTCATCCCATTAATTTTCATGCTTAGGTAGGAGAATGGGTCCCAATTCAAGGCAACTCTGGGCTACATAAATAATTCACAGCTAGCTTGAGCCACACAGTGAGACTCTAACTCTGCAAACACTAATAGCCCAGCCAAGAGTACATGGTGAAAATATAATATATAAGAATGTAGGGCTGGCTGAGCACAGCAACCAGGTTTGATGTGCAGCATCAAATATTGGTCCCTTCCCAGAACTTGCTGAGACTGCAAATGAGATTGGGCATGTTTTGCCTGCCTGTAATCCCAGCACTGGGAAGGCTGATAACAGGAGGATCACTACGACCTGTATTTGTTTTCTGACAGTCTGTAGATGCTGTCCTAGATACATAAATAAAATTAAAAGAAATCAACTTGATATGCCATGAAATTTACATCTACATAAGGAGAAGTGGAGTTTCAGTTAGAAACTAATTATGAGACCCAAAGAGAAAGAAAGTCAGGAAAAGAAAGAAAATAAGGAAGAAAGGAATGAATGAAGGGTTGACGAATGGAAGAAAGAAAGAAAATAGAAAGGTAGAAAGAGAAAAGAATTGGAGGCAAGCTTGAGATGTAATGGCATCTATATCCTTCTAAGACAACATGGTGAATTAGCAAGAATGTGCAAGAACAAAAACAAGCCACATCCATAATCCCAACACTCTCAGATGCTGAGGCAGGACAGAGCGGGGTTTTTGGTTAGGTGGGTTGAGTAATGTGTAAGTGATTACAAGCTACTTAAACAAACCACACAAGGCCAGGCCAAGTTGACACACAACTGTATTCCCAACACTGAGGAGGCTGATGTAAGAAGATTGCTAGGATTTTCCGGCCAGCTTTAGCAGCAAAGTGAGTTCAAATGCTACCTGGATTACATAGTAAAACACTGCACCAATAGGACAATAACCTAAATAAATATTTCAGGAAAATGTACTGAAATGTATCACATTGATATTGTCCTAGGTCCAAACAAAATTAGAATAAAAGTACCCAGTAGAAATCCTTGTTGACACCTGCCTGCCATCCGAGCACTCAGGAGGCTAACTCAGGTCATCTAAAGTTTGAGGAACCTTTGAGCTCCATGAGCTCAAGGTCTCCCTCGCTGTTAGAGGCCCCACTTTCAAACAAGAAAGCAAAATAGTAAAATATTAAATAAATAAGAAAACTTAAAAAATAAAAATAAGTTCTTGTAAGTTTGGTGTAGAATGCTTTTAGTTGATGTTTGGAAGGCTGAGGCAGATATTGCTGTGAATTTGAGGCCACTTGTTCTTCACAGAGAATGGAAATCCACCCTAAAGGACATACTGAGCCCTTCTTTACAAACATTAAAAACAAATGAATTCTTTTTTTGTCATGAATCAATGTGTTGTAGAAGCTTTAAAATCTGAAGTGTCAGGCACAATCTAAACATGATCTCTACTTATGTAAATCTATATACATAAAAGAACGTTCATGCACCGTGGGTTACAGTTCACAGTGGAGCTCAGCTGAGGGCAGAGAAGTGCCTGGATCAGGAGGGTGGTGACTGACCAGGGTTGGAGGGGTGGCTGGGTGCACAGCCTCCCAGGGATATAGACAGTGACCCAGGATCCAAGACCCTGGTTGGCTCCCCAGATGCTTTTATTGACTCTGTATTCTGTTTTCCTTTTCACATAGCACTTTCCATCTGTGTTGATTCTGAGCCTCCACTCAGCTAATGCTGACTGCTTCTCAGCTTCCTCTTTGTTAATTCAGAGAGAGGATGAAAAGTCCTTTTTGAAAATTAAGTACTAAGAAGGGCTGGGAAATCCTGCTCTTGTGCACAGAAAGACTGCACACCACTGTAGAGTTTCCCTCCCATGTGACCATAGTAGACCTGTGTGTGAGACAGAGTATGGTGTGATGCAGTCTGGACTCAGGAGAAAAATACTCAACTGGGGAAACTGTTAGGGATAAGGGGATCTTTGGCTCCATAAGCATTTTACAAACATTCCACATTTACTACGGCTCTTTGATCTCACTGATGTCAATCTCAGGGAAGCACAGCAGCAGTGTCCACGTGTCACTGGTGCCTGAGGTGCTCGGATTTCTGCCAGCAGATTATGTGCCCTCCCAGGGCCCTTAAGACTCAGGTGGAAACTGGGATCACGGGCACCTGCCATGTAATCCCAGGAGCATGGGAAGCAGAAGCAGGAAGTTTGCATTGTGGAGCCCAGGTGGGGGCACTTAGCAATTTAAGGAAACCCTGTGTTAACACTGAAATATAGACTGAAAAATGGCGGTTGGGGAAATAGTTCTTTGCAGAGGTTCATGTGTCATTCTGCAATACTTTTGAAAAGGTAGTAGATGTGCCCTTAGTGGGAAGCTATTAAAGACCAAAATATCTCACTGCTTGGGGCCTTTCTCAGGGATCTAGACATGGTGATCGAAAAACCATAGCACAGAGGGTGCCATGGTTTCAGCCCAGATGTATAGTCCCCAATGGTACATCAGTCATATTGAAATATCCAGTTTAGCTAACGATCTCTAACACAAGGATCTCTACACATCACATATAAACTTCTGTTCAAAATTTATCATTTGACAACCTCAGGTTGGCTTCACATGATCCTCTTACTACAAATATCTGGAGCATAAGACAGAAAAACACGATCAAATCTGGAAGAAAATTTTCATTGTAAAATACGGTACATTTGTAAGGCATGGATATTTATAACATATTATGAGCATCTTGTATGAGAAAATCTTATTTTAATTTCTTGTTTGAAAAACCTTATTTTTGGACCTGTGTCCAAATTATTTGGGTGTGTTTTAAGAGACTTTAGAGATTATTGGGGACCTTTTAATTAATCAGCAAAGGTTGGACACCTGCCTGTCCACCAATGAAGAGTCCTTTCCAATAAACTGTAGCCATTTTAAATGTTTTGCTTAATGATTAACTAGTTTGAGTATCACTTAGACCAACTTGTACCTCAGGAGAAAGTATGATTTTACCTCTTTATTTCAAGGCTCAAATAAAAAGTGGAAAACTGTTGACATACAAACACTAAAGACACAACACACAGCCCTCTGGCCCCAACACAAGCCAAGGCCCGTAGACCTTTCTCCTGCTGCCCTGATCAGGTCTGACTTCATGGAGTCCTGGCTTCCCACTCACGGCCAAAGCCAGAGGCCCCCTGTTCAAAGGCCCCTCTTGGTGAAAGCACCCCCTTCCTCAAACCACTCCCAAGACTCCTTTGCTTTCTTTCCTGTGCTGAGAATAAGTTTATTTGGATTTGTCTCTCTCAGGTCCATTCTCTTTGTACCTCTGCTAGAATGAAAATTTCACAGTCAACCTGAGCCCTGAGGCCACCACACATGGTTATCAGTGACTGTAGCACTTGATAGATCAACAGCCACCAGCTGAACCACAGACAACATGGCCTGTGCTCACCTGGGAAAAACTGGCTCAGCCATGACTGAAGCTGTCCAGCCACCAGCACCTACATAGTGTCTACAGAGCTCTTTTGGAGACTGACCCTGGAAGGAGTGTGCACACGCCTGCCATCGCATAAGCAAGTTGGTAGACTGCCTGCAGGAGCTTGGAGCATGCCCTCCCCAATTCAGGTGACACAAGCCTCAGGTACACTCAACACAGTGTCTGTTGCTAAGGAGAGGTGCAGTGCCCTGGAGAGCTCCTACTGTGTGCAGGCCTAGGAAGCAGGGGGCCTTGACAGACAGGGAGCCCCAACTAGTTCAGCAGGGGGCAGCAGGGCTGGCACAACCTTGGTGTTCATTTCTCTGTGTGTTCTGAATACATGAGTTTCATTCAAAGAACAAAGATGTGCAAAGCTCAGGGACCAAGAGCCACAGAAGCCATTAGTGCAGTGGGCTCTCACTGGACCCCATCCTGTCCTTCACAAGCTAGGACTTCAGTTTCTGGGAGTATGCTAAGGGAGCTGGTACAGTTGGGTGTTTTATGCACTGCAAGATGCTGAGGAGTAACACTGGCTTTTCCCCACTCTGAACCAAGAGGGACAAC